CTCTCCCTCTCCCTCTCCCTCTCCCTCTCCCTTTCCCTCTCCTTCTCTCTGGATGTGCCTTCGACATCCACATGTGAAGAGCTACACAGATCCCTACTTTCATTCTAAATAAACACCCCTGAACTCGCAGCAGGAGAAACCCATGCAACACTGCAGAGCAGCAGACATGGAAGCCACTCCTCTCCCTTTCCCTCTCCTTCTCTCTGGATGTGCCTTCGACATCCACATGTGAAGAGCTACACAGATCCCTACTTTCATTCTAAATAAACACCCCTGAACTCGCAGCAGGAGAAACCCATGCAACACTGCAGAGCAGCAGACATGGAAGCCACTGCTCGCTCCACCCTCTTCGCCTTGGAGGACCCAGAACAGCAAACTGGGAGACTGCAGACCAGTGACTTAGCATCCCCAAGCTTCCATTCAGTCCTTAATAAGAGAAAATCATGAAAATATCAGTGCCTTTTGGGGCAATCCTAAGAATTAAAATAATTCATATAGAGCATCTTAGCAAGCAGACAATGCTCAGTGCATCTTGGCCACAAAGTTTCTGAAGCCAGAGAAAAGGGCAGCATGGAGTTCATGGAGATAGCCCCAGTCACAGAGATACCCCACCACTACCTCCCCCCCCCCACCTCTGCTCTCAGCTTCCCCAAGCAGCAGCCCCTCCCAGGTCATGGATGGCAGGGTGCAGAGCTCACTGCCACAAATCCCTCTGCATATTCTCAGAGACAAGCACAGCCCTTTTGTCTGTCACCCCAACTCCGCACCCCATCTGCCTGGCCCTGGGCTCCCTGGTGGGGTGTGAAGCCTTTGGCTCCCATCCATGGCATTCCTCCTCCTCCTTCATGCCACTGCAGACCCTGGCGGATCACGTAAGAGGGATGAGACCCCACCCCCTGGGCTGTGAGTGACAGACACTCAGGGTCCCAACCCTAGAGCCCTCAACTCCGTAGGTCCGGCGAAGCTCCTTGCGAAGCCCCTTGCAACTCCCGTATGTTTGCAGGAGATGCTGAAATGCTTGATTTGGGAGTCACAGTTGAGAAGGATTGGTCTGCAAACTGAAACCCAAGAGAGTACAGCGAGGGCTTTCCCAGAGAGGGGACGGATCAAGGAAGTAGCTAGCAAGAGAGGTAAGGCAAAAACAAAGGCCTGAAAATCTAGGACGGGCATAAACGGTATCCGGAGACCACAAGTAGAAGAGTAGACAGGCAGGTGGGGCTGCTGAATGAAAAGGGCCAGCAGGGCCTCGCCCCTTCCCTCAGGCTCAGCAGATGGCTCTATTGTGCCAGGTCTGTGTCAACTCTGTAGACTCTTGGGCTGTAGAGCAAGTCCATGTCCCCCATATACAACTACACAATGCCCCTGTCCCAGGCTGGCTTTTAAGGACCATTATGGCAACTGTCAGTGTCTCTACCTGCCTTTACCAGGTGGCTCTGCTGGAGCTGGCCCATGGGAGCCAAGTGAGCCAGCATATGTGTTGTAGGTGGAGATGGTTTGAAAGGAGGCTTAGCCAGGCTCTAGCCTTTGTCTATCCAGACTGCTGTCATCTTTTGATATAATGGCCCCTGCCAGTATGTGACTATGCTCACTCTATCAGTCCCAGGATCTAGTGCTGGGTGTGTGTTTGTTGCCACCAGAGCCAGAGCAGTTACTAGGGGTAGATAATAATAGCAATAGTAATCCCTCATAATTGGACCAGACTTTGCTGTCTGCAGGGCACTTCCCTGCCCGTGACCTCATCTGACTTCCACAGGCGCCCTGTAAGACAGGCGAGGCTAGAGTTACTATCCCCATTTTTCAGCTGAGCAAACATAAGCCTGAAGTCACTTCTCCCATAAGTGGCAGCCCCAGCACTGGGGCCTAGGTCTTCTGACTTCTTGTAAGGTGTTTCTTCCTCTGCGTCAAAGTGAACTATCACAATACAGAGGTCACGTGACTTGCTGTTCTGCAGGGTGGGGTTCACAGTCCAATAACAGGAGTCTGTCCCAGCTGTGGGGGTGTCTGGAGTACGTGAAGATGTATCAGCATCCATCAGAACATGGAGCCAGAGCAGAGGAGACTCAGGGTCACCCAGCCTAGCAGAGAAACAAGGCCAGGCCCAAGGAAAGGAGGGAACTAGCTACACCACCACTGCCACCACAGAACTCAGGAGACTGTAAGTATTGCCACCATTACAGCCAGGGACTGTGCACTCTTTGAGTTCAGAAGGCCTGCAGGGAACTTAGACTATCTAGTCATTTCCCATGGGATCACAAGGGAGAGGCTGGAGGGCGGGGGCTGTAGCTCCATGAGTAGAATGTTTGCCTTGCGCACACTAGGCTGGGTTTGAACACTCTATAAACCAGTTGGGGTGGCACAAGCCTGGCCTGAACTCAGGAAGTGGAGGGCAGGAACAGAACACAGAACTTTAAGGCCATCCTTTGCTACATTGAGCATTTAAGACCAGTTTGGACTGTTTGAGACCGAGTCTAAAGGGGAGGAGTGGCAGAACTAAAAGCTTCCAAGGGCCCCTGTCAAGGGACACACAACGATTCCCAGCTTGTCAGTTACACATGCACACACACAGGACTGTGCAGGGTTGTAGGTTGGGCCCCTGGACCTTTCATGCACACATCTGTGCATATGTGTATGCACTGGGGGTGGGATCCTTGTCTACATCAGGACTGTGGTGGTTACAGTAGGGTAAGATCCAGGAGGCAAGCAAGCAGACCCCCATCTGGGCTCACCACTGACAAAACTCAGCATCCCCTTCTGTAAACCAGGACACCTGTTGCACCTCAGCTGTTTCAAGGGTTGCCACCAGGATACAGAATAATGGATGGAAGACACGGAAAACACAGAAACACACTCTAAGGCTGAACGAGGCAGGAAAGGACTGGGTATGAAGGTGAGGGCTCCCAGCTGCTGGCTCTTGTCTGTATGGACATCCCTTGTCAGGAGAACAGACCTCACACACCTCTCCCAGGGACCACAGAGAGGCAGGACAGTGGAGTTGACAGACCACCAGAGGGGACACAGAGTCCAGTGTTGGAGTTAGTGGCCACAGCTCCAAGGTGATGTTTTGTGGCCCCTTCAGGGATTCCCATCCATCTGATGAAATCCCTTTTGACTGACTTAATCCCAACCTGGAGTTCAGCAGTAGGGTGAAGAGGCCACCTCCCACAGGACTCTGAAAACACAGAAGTCACTGGTTCCATGGCCTGGAGTCACATCAAAGGTTACCCAGTGACTCCCACTTGGAGCCTGGGTGGGTGAGACATCATTGTCTCCAAAGGTCGACGATGTCACTTGCTCCTGAGCATCTGAACAAAGCCATGTGCTAGAATATCTGTGTGGGCTGATCACCTCATGTCTACAGTGCCCCAGAAAGCTACTGAATACAGGGGAGAAACAGGCAGCTCCAACACAGAGGTGCAATGATACCTGAGGTCTCACAGCTAATATAGGGCAGATCCAAAAAGAAATGCAGGTGTTTGGACACCTCCTCCCTACAAGGCTGACCCCTCAAAGCTGCACACACCTATAGTTTGGGCCTACTGATCCTCAAAGTTGACCCTCAGAGACCACAGTGGATGTAGCTACCGTCCTGCAACCAGAGTGCCTGGGTTCAGGTTCCTGCCTCAGCTTAGAATTTAAGCTTCTGTTTCCCAGCAACTGTTTGGCAGGAACAATCAGTATACGTGACCCATGACCCATCACAACAGCAGGCCAGCACTCTTAAGCTGTCATTATGTGGGGACAGGCCCCTCTCCTTTCCTGGGCACCAGCCACAGTGCCCACTAAAGAACCAAGAGGGTTGCTCACCTTTCGCTCATCCTCCCGCTCTAGAGAGGAGCTGCTGGTGTCCCCGGGGCCGCTGGAGGGCATTGCTGGCAGCTGGGCAGTAGGAGGCAGGCTGGGGCTTCGAGGACGCTTCGGGACTTCGAGGGCTTCAGAGAAGGAATTATCGTGGTCTTTGTAAGCAAGAGCTAAAACTTAAACATAGATCCTGATGTTAAGCCCTCGGAAAACTGCTGCCTCAGCGCTGGTCTTCAGGTGGCTCTGCCTGTAGGGAAGAGAAGGTGGTCAGCAGGGCACAGCACAGATCCTCCAGCCCAGGACCAGCCTGGCCTCTGACCTCTCTTCTCCCAGTCTTGACAGCACCCCAGAGTGTGAGAAACGGAGGCAGTCTCCACCTCCTCTACGAGCCTGGAGGCTATGACAGTCCCTTTCTGAAACTCAAAGGTGTAACGCATGCCACTGTTGGGACTTCCAGAGGCCTGCTCCTCCCCTCAGTTTTTCTTCCCACTTCCGCAACCCTCCCTCCCACCCCAGCCAGTCCCTGGGAAACCCCAGCCACCACCAGAGGCCCCCAGACCAGCTACATTTTCCTTCTAATCTGTCCTCACCCGACCCCCCCCACCCCCACACTGCTCCTCGCGTGGCGGAGGAAGTCAGCAGCAGCCACAGGATGTAGTGAAATGAATGTCATTTTGCTCAGCCTGCCCGGGACCGGCACCCCACTGACAACGCTGAGGCCCGAACCCAAGCTGTTCTGGGACGCCGGGTTTGCTGTACTCTCTGGATGCCAAGGGATGAGCCCCAAGGCCATAGCTGCACTGAACAGGCTTGCAAGCCGCCCTCTCCAAGCCCCTCTTGTGGCCCCATATGCCGTCAGAACTGGTGGGCTTGAGCGCTACCAAACGCACACAGCTGTATTTCAGGGGCTTTTCTTCCTCCCTCCTCCAGGTGTGGGCCGCAAGCCAGTGAAATAACAAAGCCTGAGCCTCAGGCCACAGCTCAGGGTGGGTGTGTTACTGCCACAAATCAACCCCCTTCACTCCGGGAGACACACAACGGTTCCTGCCCCCCACCCACCCCACCCCAAGAGACAGCGCCAAGCCCCTGCCTTGAGTGTGTGCCTGCCGGGGAGGGGATTGGCAATAGTGGGAGAGTAGGAGGTAGGCTGGATCCGAGCCCACCCACACCCTTCCCCTTCCAGTTCCCTGTTCTGCTTCCCAGCTCCCCTCCCTGTTGGGCCTTTCTTCCCAGCCCCCTCTGCCAGGGCTCCCTGGAAAACCAGGAACGGGAGACTGCCCAGGCTTGGGTTTCCCATGGGCTGCGTCCCTTCCCCAGGGATGTGATAGCCTGGGAGGTGGGTGCCCCAGTTTGGGCTCTGTACTGGCAGCGATGGGAGGAAGCTGGAGGGGGGGCGGGGCATTGCAGAGCCAGGAGAAAGGGACTTGAAGTTAAAAACCAAGCCCTGGAGAGGCTATGCCTAAGGGCTTCACTCTATCTAGAGAGGCTCCAGGAAGGAGGTGCCTTACTCCCAACAACATTAAGCTTGTCTGGGTACTGGGTTCAAGGCTGGCTGCCCAAATACCTGAGAGGGTGGCAGCAACAAAGAGAGTGGCTCCCCACAATGACAACGCCACACCTCATTTGGAAAGCTCCAAGGTCTTCCCTAGTTTACTGCTAAGGCTAAGGCTCAGACAGTTGGGACATGTCTGAGGTGTGAGCCAGATCTCACGACTGAACTCTGAGGGGCTGAGTGCTCTTGGAAGCTATATCCCCTTTATCCCCAAGCCCACAGAAACTGCTTCCCACAGCCCGAGAGGAAAACTGATCCGACCCAGTATTCCAAGAGGCTTCTCTCCTGCTATTGGCCAGTGATCTCACCCAAATCCCAGCTTCCCCTTTGTGACCATAGTTGTTTCCAATCACCCCGCATCAAAACCTTGACAAGTGGGTGTCAGCCCAAAGATTCAGTCAGTGGGAAAGAATGCTGGACTCAGAGCTAGCAGATAAGGTCATCACAGGGTTAGCGGACCCCCAGGATGTCATCCAGCTCCCACCTGACAGGCTATTGGAACCTCACAAGCAACAGGAGACCTGCCAACAGATTGGGCATCTTCAAGTACCTCACAATGGAGGCAGACTAGGCACAAAGCAAGCTGGGAATTACTCTGCACCACAGTCCAGAGAGACACAGGGGAACCTGTACTGGAGTTTGGTGAGGAGGAGCCTCTGACCCCAGAGGGGGAAGGGCGGGAGTAGTCAGGAAAGGCGGAAGGAACAGAGAGCACCAACCACAAGGGCAGTCACCCAGGAAAGAAGGGAAAGGAAGGAAATGTCTCAGGCCACCCATGTCCCTGACACGTGAGCTTCATGAAAGGTCAGCACAGAAAACAGTGGTCCTGGGTCACACCTAGGTCCCTCTGTGTTTCTCCAGAGACCTCAAAAGCCCTCAGCATTATCTGAAATCATCAGAGTGTGACCAGTGCCCTCCTTAGTGGCCAAGGCCCCATGCCTGGACATAGCACTGTCCACCTAAACTTGAGAGCCACACTTTTCTCTCAAGCTAACCTGGCTACAGGGAGCAGTGGGCTCTGGGACCCACTGTCCCAAGCTAGCAGCAGACTCCTGCAGCCCACAGCACCGACAGCATCCTTCTCACTGAGGCCAAGGCTGCACCACAGAAATCCTCACCATGAGGCCAACCATCACCACCAGCAGTTTTTTTATCTCCTCAATAATTCTTCATGTCCATACTGACCCTGAATAATGTTTATAACAACAGCATAAAAGTGCTTATCCTTGGGCTGGAGAGATGGCTCAGTGGTTAAGAGTGTTTGATGCTCTTCCAGAGGACTCTGGTTCCCAACACCCAAACCAGGTGCCTCAAAACAACCTTAACTCTAGCTCCAGGAGATGACATCCTCTTTAGACCTCCACAGACACTGCACACACACACACACACACACACACACACACACACACACACACACACGATCTTCAGGAGGAAAAATGCTTATCCTTGAACTCATGATCCTCCTGCCTCCACCTTCCACAAGCTTGGGTTGACCAGTATCTCCTATGTGCTTGGTTTCCGTGGTGGTAGAGATGAAACTCAAGGCCTTGTACATGCCAAGAGCCCCACTAATGGAACCACCCCTACAGCCCATTTTGTTATAGTTTTCTTTTCTGAGAGGGTCTAACACAGCCCAGGCTGCCCTCAAACTTGCTATGCAGCTGAGAACTTGAATTCCTGATCCTCCTGCCTCCCCCCACCCAAGTGCTGGGATTACAGGCATGTGCCACCATGCCTAGAGAGGACTGCAGTACCAGCTCGACTCCACATCTTACAACCTCCTTCAACCTAGCAGACTTTTTCTTTTAAGATGTGAAATGACAAGAACAGGCTTAACAAGGGAAAAGACATTACCAACAAAATTTCAAGACTGGGAAAGCAACTTAACAGTCAAATCAGAGACAGGCACGTAAAAGCTGATTTTCAATGCGTAGTTCTTAACAGATCCTTGTTGCCATAGCACCGGGCACCTGTGGGACTAAACTGAGGCGGATGCACGTGTGAAAACAGAGGGACTGGAGCAAGAACCATCCCAAGACACCTGTGTCCCCTGAAGCTGCAACAAGATTCTCTGGAGGCCAAAATGGTTCAGGTAGAGGTAACATCCCAGCCAGCAGAAGTAAGTTCATTTAAATGTTGATGTGAGTTCTTAGCCCCTTCTAGACTGGAAAACAGTGGCAGCCAGATCCTGCTCTCTGGAGCAAAAGCAGAAGAATCACATCAATACCAAGACCACCTGTTCATGACCAGTGAGGATCTGAAAGTTGACAAGTCTTTGGGCCCAGAGCTTACGATAAACTTCTCTGGGTTAGTTGGTCTCAGTAGTTTGTTTTGGGTTTTTGTTTGTTTTATTTTTGAGGCAGGATTTCATTATAGAGCTCAGGCTAGTCTGAAACTCTCTGTGTAGCCCAGGATGGCCTTAAACTAGAGATTTTTCTGTCTCTATCACCTGAGTGGTGATTTCAGGTCTGAATCATCATATCCAGCCACTCCCCTGCCCTTTCTTCTTCTTTACCTACCTACTTCCTTCCTTCCTTCTTTCCTTCCTTCCTTCCTTCCTTCCTTCCTTCCTTCCTTCCTTCCTTCTTTCCTCCCTCCCTCCCTCCCTCCCTTCCTCCCTTCCTTCCTTCCTTCTTTCTATCCTTCCTTCCTTCAAAGAAAGGATCTCACTAATGTAGCCCTGGTTAGTCTGGAGCTTGCTACATAGACTAAGCTGGCCTAGAATTCACAGGGCTCTGCCTGCCTCTGCCTCCTGCAACTCTTAATCAAAGGTCAACCAAGGGCCAACAGATATTTTAGGAGAGCCTCTGACTCGTAAGATAGGGACCAGAATAAAACCAAACCAACTGTAGCAAAACATGTCAATGGTTTCTATAGCCACAAAACAAGAATGTGATGTTACTGAAAAAGAAGAGAACAGAAAAGCACTTCCAGGGGCTGGAAGGATGGCACAGCTGTTAAAAAGTGCAGACTGCTTTTTTGTTTGTTTGTTTGTTTGTTTTGTTGTTGTTGTTTTTCGAGACAGGGTTTCTCTGTGTAGTCCTAGTCCTGGCTGTCCTGGAACTCACTCTGTAGACCAGGCTGGCCTCAAACTCAGAAATCCGCCTGCCTCTGCCTCCCAAGTGCTGGGATTAAAGACGTGCGCCACCACCGCCCAGCTTTTCTTTTCTTTCTTTCTTTTTTTTTTTTTCTTTTTTTTTTTTTGGTCAGACTGCTCTTGAAAAGGGCAGAGTTTAGCTCCCAGAACTCATGTCAACCGGATGACAACCACCCGCAGCATCTGGGCATGTGACATCTCCGGCTTCCTTGGGTACCCACACTCACAAACACAGACACCACCATGGCCACAGCCACATACACATTGTTAAAAATAAATGCATCTTTTTTAAAAAGGAACTTCTTTTTTTTTTTTTTTTTTTTTTCAGAGCTGAGGACCGAACCCAGGGCCTTGTGCTTGCTAGGCAAGCGCTCTACCACTGAGCTAAATCCCCAACCCCTAAAAAGGAACTTCTACAAATACAAACATTGTAGTAGTAGAAACAAAACTCAGTGGCCAACTGAAAATAAAATGATTTAGCATATGATCCAGGAGCCCACCAGCCCACCACCATACCTATAGGAACCCAAGAGAAGACTCATGTCAAAGACATCTATCTGCATTCCTGTATTTCCTGAGGTGCTGTGTGCGGTAGGGCTCAACTTAGGCACCCACCAACAGATGACCAAGTAAAGGGAGGATGGGACGAATGCCCAACTGAGTATTGTTCAGTTACAAAACAATAAAACTCATCTGCAGCAACGTGCAGGCACTGGGAGCACATTAGATTAAGAAATA